GAATTAAATGAAAGCTTCGCTAAATACATCCGTTTTCAAAAGGCATATACAAAGGACTAAAGGAAACTCTGAAGGTTGGTTTGGGCATAACTAGCTCAAAAAAGGCATTTTTCTTTTACCAGTCCTAGGCTTGAACGCAGGGCCTGGGAGCTGTCTCAGAGCTTTTTCAGCTTGAGCCATGGTTCCACTTCCAATTTTTTTTTTGTACTTTCCTGCCCAGGCTGGCTTTGAACCATTATCTTCAGATTTCAGCCTCCTGAATAGCTAGGATTGCAGGTGTAAGCCAACAGCTCCCACCTCCAATGACATATTTTTAATTTTTAGATCAGAAGAAGAAGAATACTGAACAAACCATTTGGGCATTTAGGTTACTTCTTCCTCTTCCCCCTTCATAGGGCTGGGGATTGAACTCAAGGCCTTGCAGATGCTAGACCAAGCAGTGAACTACTGTATTACCCCCCCAAATCCATGGTTGAAAAATAAGAATAATTATTTAAATGTACATATGTACTACTCCTACATGGTTTTCCTAGAGAAGAACACTTACCTGTATGCCCTTGAATGGAAAGGAGATCATTTGTAACACCCCTCATGGCTTCTAGGGTGGAGTGGGTGATGTCATAGGTTGGAAGGATAATGTCTCTGGAATCCAGAGAACCACACCAGGAAATGATAGCCAGAGGCCCAGGGGTTTCCTTGACCTTCCGATGCTCCAAGGGCCAGTCCCCAAGATTAATGTAAAATTCCAAATCCGGCAGGAGGACCTGAGTAAGCAAAAGTACAAACATCAGTGCTTGGAGGGTCTCAGGAGAGCTTTGTTCCTCAGTACTGTAGGAATTCCTTGGTTTTCCTGAGCGTTTGTGATGGAGCCGACCACTCAGATCAGGAGAAAGGACAAGGATGCCTCTTGGTCATGAACCAGTCAGCAAATCCCAGGGGAAGATCCTGCACCAGGGAATTCATTTAGCCAGAAGTCAGAGGTGGCATCTGCGATTGGTTATAGAAGTAGACATGGGTGGCTTTAGAATCCTCTCTGCCAGCAGGCTAAGCAACCATTGACACAGTCAGTGCCTTGACACATCTACCTTTGTCTCCAAAATCTGCCACCCCATTCTCATCTCATGGTTGAAGCCTTTGCTGAGACCCTTAGTATCACTGGCCTAAGAAGCTGCAAGAGCTTCCTCATTAGGAGCTGTCCATGTAGCTGTCCAAGTCACACACATATGTGTGTATGTGTGTGTGTGTATGCGCACATGCATGAGTGCTGGTACTGGGTCTTGAACTCAGTGCCTAGGCTGTCCCTCAGCTTTGTTGCTGGAGCTGATGCTCTTCCACTTAAGCCATACCTCCATTTCTGGCTTTTTGGTAGTTCATTGGAGATACGAGTCTCATAGATTTTTCTGCCCCAACTGGCTTCAAATTGGAATCCTCAGAGCTCAGCCTCCTGAGTATCTAGGATTTTAGGCGTGAGCCACCGATGCAAGGCAAGCCAGAGAAATTAGAGTAGTGACTCAAAGGCTGTAAACATTTGAACATTCACAGAAACCCTGTGTGTGCCCATATGGCCCACCTTCCTGGGATGGAGATTCAAGCCATTTAATTTATATAAGAAAGAGAGGCTCTCACAAGTTAGAGGCCTTATGAACACTCTGGCGGTAACTTCTCAGCTTGAAATCCATTTTCATCCTTGCTTCTACGCCCTTCCGTGTTACCACAAAATAATCAAACTGCACTATTTTGGGGATCAGTTCATTCATTTTCATACCTTTCTTGCGAGGGAGAGCAAGATCTCATCAGAGAACATTTTGAAATCCGTGTATTTCCCTAGTGATCGCCGGTAAATGTGGTTATTGAGAATTGTGTAGTGAACAACAGCACCCCTCTCTTCCCCAAATCTTTTGGGGACTTCACGTAACATCTGCTGGAGATCGATGCTAAGGAATGAAGCAAAATCTTCTGCAATTTGCGGCTCCTCAAGTGGACAGGAAAGAACTTCCTGCCAGGCCTCAGGATCTTCTGGACACCTGCAATACTCATGGTACACGGGACCTGGGGAATGCAAACACACAGGGCCACACTCTGTGACAAGTGCCACCACAGGAAATTGCTTCTGTCCTGATGGGAACAAGGATAACTTCTTGCTCAATTCTACTACTATCCAGAGAAAAATTGCCCTGGACAAAATCAGTGAAGTTGGTAATTGCATCACAAAATTTGGGGGGTGAAGTGAGAATCTGCAGAAGGGCAGATTCTCCTAGTGAAGTATAATTAGCTCTAGATTAAATATGGCTTCAATTCCATCCCACAATTATAAAAGTATAACTGGAAAGAATCAAACTATTTCCAGGTATATCAGCTGCATTTCTGAAAACAAGCTCAAGAAGACAAAATGAAGAGATGAGAAATACATCCAACGGGATTGAGGATAAGTTGGCACTACAGAATAAAAGATGAGTGAACTAAGCCAGGCACTGGTGGCTTATCACACCCATAATCCTAGCTACATGGGATATTGAGATCTGAGGATCCTGGATCAAAGCCAACCTGGGGCAGAAAAGGCTGTGACACTCTTACCTTCAATTAATCACCAGAAAACTGGAACTAGAGCTATGGCTCAAAGTGGTAGAGCATTAGCCTTGACCAAAAAGAGCACAGGGACAGTGCCCAGACCCTGAGTTCAAGTCTCATGACTAACAACAACAACAAAAAGATGAGTAAACTAAAGACATAACAATGGAAACCATACAAATTGAAATAGAAAAAGAGTGAAACAGAAAAAAAACAAAACTACTTGAGGAAATTCTGGTTAAAATTTTCCAAAATTTGGGGCTGGGAAGGTGGCTCAGTGGTAGAGCGCTTGCCTTGCATGCATGAGGCCCTGGGTTTGATTCCCCAGTACCAGAGTTTAGGCCCCATGACCGGACCCCCCAAACAATTTTTTTTCCAAAATTTGTTGAAACTGTAAGTCTGAAGAATACATGAAAACCAGCAGAAAGAAACCAAAACAGAAGAAACATTTTTTAAAAAGGAAAAGAACAGCAAACATA